AAAAAAAAAAAAAAAAAAACACTAAAAGTTTTAGGATAAAAAAAATATATATATACAGGGTTGCCGGCGTTCGGGACAGGCCGAACGCCCGAACGTACAGGACCCCTTCGGATAGAGCGATCGAGTAAGGAGGAGAGGGGATAAAAAGTTGGTGGAAGATCAGTGAACGGGTGGGGAATGAGAGAACAGTAGGAAGGAGAGGAGGGAAGTAGAGAAAATAAGACAGAAGAGTGAGGTAGGATCAGGGAGTAGTGGTAGAGTTAGAAAGGTGGATTAGATGACGGGGGGAGGGGAGAAAAAAGGGGTTTGGGAAGAGTAGTTTAGTGAGTATGGAGGTTATAGTACTGTTATACCAAGCTCTTGGGTTGGCCAAGAGCAGATAACAGGATCTGGGCCTTCAAGGTGTCGCTGGCCTGCTGTCGCAGCAATAAGAAAAATTGATGATGATAATCTTGATCAGTCACCCAGATGCCACTGTAGACTTTGGCTGAGATTTCGATCAGCCACCCAGATGCCACTGTAGTGCAGCCCCCTAGCCAGGGGAGTCTTCTCTCAAGGCTCTTTAATAAACTCTTTAATTTATTTATTTTATTTTATTTTATTTTTGAAGGGGTTTAAGGGTTTGCTGGTGGCAGGATCCAACTTTCTATGGCATAGCCAAATATAATTTTGTGACCTTTTGTGGCCTGTGACAATAGTGACATTGCAACAGGCCTTGTGGTGGGCCAAAAAGCGAGGGTGTTATTTTGTCAAACGGACTTCGGTTAGGACTTTCCCACATTTAGTGAAGTAATAAGATCAGAGATTACTCGTCCGAGTCTGATACGGCAACGAGTTTGGAACCTGATTTTCCACAGATGGGGCCCAGGTCAAGTCATCATCAGTCATGCGCTTTCTGCTTCTTTCCAGAAAGCCTGTGCAACACGGCTGTTTGGGCAAGGTTTATGGTGTTGTGCTGTGTAGCGCTTATTTCGTCGATGATATCGAACGCTGAAGGCTGTGTAACACCGTGACCTCGCCGACTGGTTTGAATCACCACTACACTACAGGGGACACCTGTCTTGTTGCACCTGGCCCTCCCCTTCCCGCCGTGTTCGCCCGAATAGAATCCTTTTTTCTTTATTATTATTATTTTTTTTAACACAACACACCCCCGCCAGTGTTAGTGGTGCTGATAAGAGCAGAACCTGGCCCTCCCCTTCCCACCGTCTTCACCCGAATAGAATCCTGTCGAACCTGTTCTTGGGGAAAGGAGGGTCGTGATCATCGCCGTATGTAGACTGGGAGTTGACCCCCCGATGAGCACGACCTTCCTTTCCCCAAGAACAGGTCAGGTTCTCTCTGAGCATATGCCCAGACCCAAAATAGGCATCGTCATCGTCGACAGTAGGCATCGTCGAATCATTGAAGCAGCTAGAATACGCCCAGACCCAAAATAAGAGGTATCGAGGAGAAGAAAAAAAGGAGGGAAAACAAAAAAAAGAGATATCGAGGAGATGGAGATGACTAAAGCGACGGCAGAAATGTGTTACCAATTGAGGACTGTAATCGTGAAGAAAGAGACGATTAAGACTTGTGCCCCCGTTAATATAAATTGGAGCCTCGATCTAAAAGGAGGGGCAAAAACAGTACGGGGTTCTCGAAAGGACCGTGGCAGCCCAGTCCACGAACAAAAAAACAAACAAACAAGAAAAAAAAAGAAAAAAGAAAAAAAAGATGTATCTGGGAAAGGACGTCTACGAGACCGGACTTCAAGAAAATGCCTCCGGCATCTTCCGTCCCCAGTCACTTCGATAAACTGTCGTGTTTCTATCAGAAGAAAAATCAAAGTTAAGAGGGCCAAGACCCTTTCCCCCCCTGCCAGATCTTGCAATACGGGATCAGTACAGCTAAGTGAGGGTTTAAAGGGGACAGAGAGAGTGGGTGGCAAGGTGCACACCAGTTTGGGAAGGCTACTTAGGGCTACCACCTTCCCCCAAATAGAACATACGGGCATTATTGCTGCATTTTTGGGGCCATGTTTCAGTCTAGATACAGCAATAATGACCATGGGTTCTGTTCTGGTGAAGACTGTAGCAAGCGCAGTTTCACTTGCTACCCTCAACGAATTGGGGTAAAGGAGTTTAAGGAGGCCCTTTTTTGAGATTTGCAGAGTTCTGATCTGTCAATTACAAGATGGGATGTTGGGTACTGATTTCCAGTACATAACAGACTGGTCCTGCATGACTACACCGGAGCCATCTCTCCCTGCAAGGCCCTTATACTGGGGGTGTGAGAGTCATTGCACTGATGAAAGAAAGCCTTGGGGAGAGAGAGAGAGAGAGAGAGAGAGAGAGAGAGAGAGAGAGAGAGAGAGAGAGAGGGGTACTTTGAAAACACAAGCATACACACACACACACACACACACACACACACACACACACACACACACACACACACACACACATCGTTGCATTGTACATCATCTTGCGTTCAAACACTGCCAAGTTGTGCCAACTATAATACAGCAAGTCCCTGGCTTTTCACACCGGCATGAAGTACATTAGATCCTTTCTTCAAAGCATCTGCATACTTTAAACTGACTCATGGAGAAACAGCTTGCAGGCCCAGGCAGGGTGCACATTCAGAAAATGCGTCCACTTATAGGCCAATGATGCCAGGGGTTACGAAATGAAGGCCGGGCATCCTTACACGCAACATAAGCACATGTTAACCAGGACAAATTTGCAATGTGGAATATGGACTCGAGAATAAGTAAGCGCCTTTCGCAAGGATCCTTTGGGAAATGCGCATCCAGTGCCATCCACCACACACCCACCCTGTTCACAACTTCACCTTGACAAAATTAAATTCTCAACTTTCAGAACTGGACACCCTTCCACCCTCAGCAACCCTTCTCTCCATCGGCAACGACTGTGTTACAACTGCTACTACTAATTAGAAAGTTATAGAGATATGTATAAATTTATAAAATCTATAAAATCTATAGTTCAACTTGTGTAGGTTGTGTTCTAAATAATAGACCTGTGTAGGTCCCATAGAAATATGTCCTACGAAGAAGTAGGACTTCCTTATTCCGTCACCGGCCGCCATGTATCAACTTGTGTAGGTTGTGTTCTAAATAATAGACCTGAAAAGAAAAGAAAAGAAAAGAAAAGAAAAGAAAAGAATCCCTCCATTCCAAGCATGCCAAGACATAAAATTTTTGGCAAGTCCGGATGCCGTCAGTCTCATCAGAGATGTAGAGGAATATGAAGAGGTTCAGAATACCTTTAGGAAAACCTGCCGTTTGTGGTCGATAGTAGAAGCCTCCATCCACGTAATCATTGAGCAATCGTCAACAAAAACAATAGTCAGTGGGCACATTGTGATCCCTGTCGTGTTTCGCCATCTTGCACTGTGGCTACCTGCTGTACTCATTCTATAGATATATATTATATATTATATAGCGTCCTGTCAGAACAAGAGACGATTGCTATGGATCGCATGCTATTTTAATTTTTAAGGCATATAGAGACTGCTGCGGGGGACATCAGCGGCCGACCGGGGCTGGAGTTGAGAGGACTGGGATGTGCTGCTGGGGGCATCTCAAGTAATATTTGCTAATGTCAATATTTTCTGCTGAATGTGATAATTTACAGATGCTTAGCAAAGCAGCAGCAGCTCGCTCGCTTTAGGGCTACAAATCTGTAACCGTGATCGAGCGATCATTCGTATTGAGATCTTATCAAGATTTGGAGATAACATCGTGATGGAAGGACAAGCCATGTGAACATAATAGTGGCTAATAATTGGATAAACCGGAGCGAAAAGAAAGAAAAAAAAAAGATCAGAAAAATGGCTGGGTGGTTAAACTTAGCACACATTTTCTTTTCCTCCCACTTAATGTGGGCGGCAGAAGGCATTCACTGTGGGTGTGGGTGGGTGGGTGGGTGGGTTGGTGGGTGTGGCGTATGTTTGTTGCGTGCTGTTCCTCAGACGACTTCTTTTTTGTTTTTCTTGTTTTTTTTTTGTTCTTTTCTTTTCCTTCCCAGTGCGGACGTGCGCGTTTTCAGACGATCCCTCTAATCGTCCGCTTTCCTGGTGAACCATTTCCTACCGACAAACTTCAAGACCTCATCCACCAGAATAATGGGTGCCGAGATGGCTACGACAAGCAACCACTCCTGCAAGCTAAGGGGTACGACTCCAAAGATATCGGCGAGCCAAGGAGTGTACAAGATAGCAAAGTGAAGACCCATCGACACTCCGATCGCCAACAGCAGCCACGAGTTCGACCATGGAGGTGTCATCAGGAGACTGTTGTCCTCACTCAGGGCGTTCAGTGCATTAAACATCTCGATGACCACCAGTGTCGACATGGCGAGGGTTGATGCTTTCACCTTTCCCTCCTCAAAGTAAGCGCACGGGTTTCCCTGGAAGTCGAATACTCTGTTTCCAGCTGTGAACGGCGTGACAGCGAAATTCTCCCAAACTCCGCTTCCCAACTCTTTGCTGCATGCGCCCCAATGCGCGAGTTGGTGGGCCGTGACCGGAGTATGCCCGTCCGCGGTGAGATCCAGTCCCAGGATGGGCCCTGGGGCAACATACCACAAGGCGAAGACTCCCACTGTTGCCAAGCCCACGTAGGTTCCGATGACAAGGTACCGGAAGAGCACCCACCGGCCAAGCAACGGTTCATTTGGCCGCCGCGGCGGCTGCTCCATTATATTTTTATCCGGCGGGTTGAACCCGAGAGCTGTTGCCGGAGCTCCGTCGGTGACGAGATTCACCCATAACAGTTGTACCGGAATGAGCCCTTGCGGGAATCCCAACAGCGCCGTCAGAAAGATGGACACGACTTCTCCAATGTTCGAAGAAATCAAGTACCGAATGAATGCCTTCATGTTGTTGTAAATCGATCGTCCCTCCCGCACGGCGGCAACGATCGTCGTGAAATTGTCGTCGACGAGAACCATGTCGCTCGCTTCCTTTGCAACCTCCGTCCCAGCGATCCCCATGGCAATGCCGATGTCTGCAAGCTTCAAAGCCGGCGCATCGTTCACACCATCACCTGTCATCGCAACCACATCTCCTCCTGCCTTGAGCATCCGCACAATCTCTTGTTTATGCCTGGGTTCTGCTCTTGAGAATACAAACCCGCGCGATTGACCAGAGGCTGCATTCTTGTCGACAAGAATTCTCATGCGCTCTGAAGATGGCAGCTGCATAAACTCTGTGCCTGTAAACGATCGGTTGCTCAGATCCTCGTCTGCATCAAACAAACCAATCTGCCGACAAATTGCCTCCGCTGTGTTCTTGTTGTCTCCAGTGATGACAATCACACGAATGCCGGCCTTCTGACAATCCAGCATCGACGCTCTGACTTCTTTCCTTGGAGGATCCTGAAATGCGATCAAAAGTTTAGAAACCGAAATGAGAATGAGCAAGTTCCCTCAAGGATACGTGGAGCTGTTGAGCAGTTTTATGAAAAAAATGAGAAAGTTCCCGGCAAAGTGCGCGAGCAAAGAAGTCCTTGTGACAGTGTTCACCAAATTTATAAAAGTAAAAAGCTGATCTTTTCGGCACATTTCTTTGTTTATGTGTGTCATCCTTGTGCAGGGGCCATGCTAATCTTCTGCTTATCAGCTGTACTCATACTTGCAACCGCACGAGCTGCACATCCGTGCGGAGTTCCATGCGGGGGGTGCCTATGCGGAATCGTGCAGGTGTTTTATTTTTTATTATTATTATTATTTATTTATTTTTGCGAGGGGGAACGGGGGGGTGTATGACAGGAAGATGGGGATATGGCGAGGAGAGGGGGATCTGGAAAGGAGGAGGATGTAGACGAGGAGGACAACGAGGATAGCGAGGACGAGGAGTCATCGAGATGGGGGTGGAGAAGAGATGGACGGAGGGAAAAGAGGAAGGGCAGGAGGAGGAGGACGATTGGGAGGAGGCGGAGACATGGGCGGCGAGGAAGAGGAGGATACGAGGAAAGGGAGGACATGATGAAGGGAAGGAGACGAGGAGGCATGGTAGATGAGGAAGAACGAGGAGGAGACAAGGAGGATGAGGAAGGACAGGAGGAGGAGGACGAACAGGAGGATGAGTCAGAGAAGAGAGGAGGAGACATGGGAGGATGAGGAAGGGGAGGAGCAAGGTGAGGCAGTACTCCTGTAATTTTTTTTTTCATCTCGCTTATAATTTTGGCAGGGGGCCTCAAACGCACCGTTTCGACCCTGGCCTTCTTTTTTTTTTTTCTGAGAGGGGTGACAGGTCGTTCCCCGTACACGTCGTGCGCTGCACGGGAATCGGTTGGGCGTGTGCGCCGCACGTAGGGAACCGCCCAGACGACGTGCGCTTGCAAGTGTGGCTGTACTTAAACAGGATCTGCGTATCGTTTCAATTTTAACTGATGAAACAAAAAAAAAACACAAAAAACAAACAAACGATAAGGACTATCTTAGTACCTTTTGCATTTTCCAAAAAAAAAAAAAAAAAACACCCTCTTTGTGCAATCTTTCTTAACATGTGGGCGGCATGGAATCTGTTGATCGTCCTTTTCGCTTTCTTCGTTCCTCCTCCTCCTCCTCCTCCTCCTCCTCCTTTTGTTCCATTTTCTGAAAGGAATAGCTAACCCATCAGGATTTGATCTCAAGGCCTCCAGGGAGCTATATTCCACTGACCTGCAGACCAGCAAGTCCAACAAACGTAAGGCCACTTTCTATGATCGAATAGTTTTCTGGCTTCAGCAGCAATGCGTGCGCAGGATGGCTCTCCCCGTCATATGTACGAAGAGCTCCCAGGTCTGTCTTCACAGCGAATGCTAAACACCGAAGAGCTTGCCGAGTCATGGCATCCACCCGTGATACAATGGATTTCCTGAAGCTCGCTGTCATACGTACAACCCTCCCATCTTCCAGCTGCACAAAGTCGCACCTATCAAGCACACACTCCGCTGCACCCTGTTGTCACCACAGATAGCATCAAAGAGCATAGAAACAGCGCAGAAAGAGCACAGAAACAGCGCAGACAGCGCACAGATCAAACGCCCTCGTCAAAAAAAAACTGGACCCTCAAGAGTTCCTCTAACCTAATTACCACAAAGTGGCACACAGTGCCAAATAATTAAAAAAAAAGAAGAAAAAAAAAAAAGAAGAAAAAAAAAAGAAACTGGATTCAAAGCTTCTCTCAACTCAAACTGCTCAAAGTGCATCATATCTCAAAAGACTTCAGTCTTTTTTTTCTTTTTTTTTCTCCCTTTCTTTCTTTTTGGACCATTTCTCGATTTATGCGCGTCATCCTTGCGCAGGGGGCATGCTAATCTTCTCTGTATCGTTCCAATCCTTTTAACGGGTGTTCCGAAGGACAAAAATGATCCAGTCTTATTATATTGTCAATATCAATATACTTTGGTTACTCACATGGATACCTTGGTTAATCACATGGATATTAAAAAAAAAAAAAAAAAAAAAAAGTACTACTTCAGAAAAAGTATCCATATCTCAGCAATATCTGTTTTTCTTTATATGTTGTACCCAAACCATTCTTTATGTGGTTGTGTGAATCAATGATGTTGAAATTTAAATCAACTTATATTCATGATCTACTTCACTCGATGAATAACTGTCTTCAGCAACCCAAACAAACTTTCATGATCTGTCAGAGACATAATTGAGCGACCAACAGAGTGGAACCGTGGCAAGTAAAACATTTGTGGGACCAGAGCTCAATCACCAAGGGACCAGAGCTCAATCACCAAGGAAAACCTTGCGGGAACCAAGGGATGTACTCAAAGGCTCAAACTTCTCTTCTGAAAGGGTGGTGGTACAATAAGCTAGAGAAGGAGCTGGATGACAACATCCCTGTGCCATGGAGAACCACGGAGAACACTCCTCAAGGAAAGGATAAGTAAGTAAAAGACAGCGGGGATGGGGCATATCGTGAAAAGTTGAAGATGCAATCCAGCAGCCCTTCAGTTGATCTCAAAACTTTCTGGTAAACGTAAAACTTTTCACAAGGGCTTAATACTCTGCAGTTTAGCACTTGGCAACTACGTAAAATATAGACATTTAAACCACTAGTACCTTTGCCGCGTGGGAAAATAGCCTCGGGTGGGCCTCCGACCTTTTCGGATGGCCGAAATGAAACGACGGCCGCCGATCAGATTTATCAATGGCAGCCGTCGTTGGGCCCGGCCTCCGAATTTTCAGGAGTTTGGGAAAACTGCCAGTTTTCCCTAATTTCCCAACACTGGGCGAGGTACTAGGAAGCCACTGAAAAGGGTGGAGCAAAAAGGGGTAAAAAGTCGAAAACAGAGAAGGGGAAAGAAAAGGAAAGAGTAAAAGAGAAAGATAATGTTACGGAAATTAGAAACGCAGATAGATGAGCAGAAGAGAGAGAGTCGAGGCACAGCTCGTCCAAAAGTCTTTCTCAGACACCTGGCCGTATGCGGCCAGAATAGCCGATGTGAAAAGGATAAGTCCAAAAGACTCTTTCTGAGTCATTCTCGCACGAATGGTTAATAACTAAATAGGTGGTGTCATTTTCGGCAAATCTTTCACCGAAACTGCTGGGCTACCAGCCGGGCCGCCCGGGTCACCCTACTTTCCCGCGTGGCCCGGCCGTGCAAGGACCAGGGAAGGTCCCAGCCAAAGAAAAAACAAACAAACAAATCCAAAAGATGTTTAAAAATCCGAAAAAAAAAACTATGTTATGCAGAAAAATACACTCAACAACTTTTGCCTCAGGGTCACATCGAAATTCTTTACCAAATTTAAAATACAATTTTAAATAAAAAAACATTTTTTATTTTTTAATCTCTTTTTGGTCACATCGAAATTCTTTACCAAATTTAAAATACAATTTAAAAATATATATATATTTTTTATTTTTTTATTTTTTAATCTCTTTTTGGGCCGGCCGGGCAAGTGGACCCGGGCCACTCTGGTAGCCTAGCGAAACTGCCATATTTCCCTGATTTTTTTTTCTTCTTGTTTCTATTTTTGTGTGATATCACTGATATGTACGTGCTTCAGGGTGCATCTGTATTCAGTTTCAAGTTTCAACGTATTTGGACGGAGTGGAGAGGCCGCTCATTCAATTTGACTACAGAGGGATGATCAATCACCCTATCTAGATGGGGAATATAGTTTTTTTTTTTTTTTTTTTTTTTTTTTTTTTTTTTTTTTTTTTTTTTTTTTTTTTTTTTTATGGCGAATATAGTTACTAGACTTCAGCAACAGAAATCTCAGTCTGCAAAAAGGAGGATAGTGAGAAATTGAGAACACAACGTCAACAGGCCCGCAGCAAAACAAAACCATAATCGCCAATCCCAACATACAACCAGCTTAGGAAAAACGGTTTTATAATCTTCATCAGAGTTTTCTTCATATATATATTTGAGTACAACCAAGCACCTTAAGGGACAATTAACCCGGTTTCCAGCTTTGGAGGTTACTTCTGCGCTGTCCTAGCTTTAATGATGGTCTAATTATTCTGGTCACCGCAGAATGCACTGACAAGTTCAAGACTATTCTTTTTTTTTTTAAGGTGCCGTCACTGCAGTGCACACATCCCCCCCCTCGATTCGCTCGCAAAATATATTCACGTGGCTGAGACTCTGCTTGTTGTACGTTGTAACTCCCGAAGATGCTCTTTGTGCAATTTTAGCATGTGCGCAGCATGGAATCTGTCCTGTCGCTGTTTTTCATATTCTTCTGCCTCCGGCGTGTCAACTACATCCTTCGCGCTCTCTCATCCAAACCAATCCTGTCCTGCTTAAACATAAGAGATTCACTTACCCCCCCCCCCTCCACATTTTTTCAGCAGCTTTGTTCCTCCCGATCCCTAACTGATGAGCTTGTTGTATAGACCTCTCCTGGAATTCTTCTGAGCAACTTCTTTCATCCTGAACCCTGACTGTTGAGCTTGTTGTATACGCTTGAGATTTCCTCATTTGATCGGGGGAGATGGTTAGAAGGGCGACGATGATGGCGAGAACAACAACCACAATGATGCAGAGGCTCAGTGTGGCAGCAACATGGGAGTTTGGTTGAATGCCCACCAAAGCGTGGGCCCAGCCTCTCCCGTCAAGATCTGAGCCATTGATGTTTGTTGATCTATGGATCAGATCGCATGGACAAAAACAACAAAAAGTTCAGCAGCCCCAACTACTTTTTTGCACCTGGTAGCACACATTGGACTTCCCTTCAGCTGCTACGCCGCCTACCAGGTCCATTGACACTCCATTTGGCACTCCTACGGCAGTCCGCCCAGGATCCCCACTGGGGAATCCGCTTCACGGGCAGTCTTGGCTGCTGCCCGTCCACACAGCTCGGTATCCTAGTTCAATACATTTTTCTTTCAGAGTACTTGTGCCTGTGAAGCGGACCAATGTCTGTGCGATGCTTTCTGTGCACAACATGCTCATGAAATGTGCACATGCAGAAGAGGGAACGAATTGAGCAGTGGCTTATACACTTGGATTCACACAGAAAGCGAGAATGAAGCAGGTCGAAGAGTGAGATGATGACTCGCAAGTTTCTCACCTTAGCAGCTTAAACCCCCAGTACCTTTCCCATAATATATCTGCGGCCGCAGGAAAAAAAATAAGAGTGGAAGCAAACCTTTCACTGGGATGAATTTGGGCGCTCCCGTAGTGGCCGGTCCATCCTCAGAAAGTCGCGGCTGCAACTTTCTGAGGTACTGGTGGAGTTTAAGGCCGAAGTAACTGCTGGAGAGATCCAAAATGATTACAGGCAGGCCAACGGGTCATTTCCCTTAAACTAGCAAAAGTTGTTCCAGACTCGACTTCCTGAGTGCACAGAATCATTTCCCTTAAACTGGCAGAACGGGGCACCATCAAGATTTCTTCATGGCCTACTCCTAAAACTCGGGATGCTAGGAGGTACGGGACCACAATGGCTGGTGGCGCCAGGCGAAAAAGGGAAAAGTCGCCGCTGGCAGTGGGCAGTTCCGCAAAGCTTGACGGATGCGGCGGCGCCACCACGCCCAGGTGTACTGGTTGGTTTTACGACTCGTTGAACAGGGCACGAGTTTACCTTCACAAACAGGTGATTCGCATGCACGCCACTGGATGATGAATCTCTCCTTCGGAGCAAAACGCTCATCGACTTGCGGTACCTGTCAAACTCGAGAGTGGCAAGCCTTTCCGCCGACTTCGCCCACACTTCACAACACCCTAGAACAACAACGACAGAGCACAGAAACCTGGTTGAGAACCTCTGCCTCCCTCTTTGAAATGGGTTGGCCCCTCACATTATTCCTTCCATCTGATTTCATCAAGATTCGAACTCATGATCTGTTCACCGACAGTCACAAGTGTGTGCCCTTCATTCTCCTTGGAGGCTTGGAGACCACTTATTAAGTTATTATTAGTACTTATTACTAAGGGTCAGATCCCACTATACCCTGGATTATTCATTTTTCACCCTCGATTACGACGATCAACGGTCAGAAATGAACAATAGGGGCTAGTGGCATCCGGCCCTAAGTTACTAGCATATTTGGAATATCCCGAGATATCGTACACATCAATACACTTATTAGCTAGGCTACCAGCCGGGCCGCCCGGGTCACCCTGTTTTCCCGGGCGGCTCGGCCGTGCAAGGACCAGGGAAGGTCCCAGCAAAAAAAAAAAAAAAAAAAAAAAAAAAATCCTAGAGACATCATGGGCGTGAAAATCCGAAGCAGTTTGGACCTCGGTGCAAGAAGGGTTGCACGGAATTGGCACGGAACCATTTATTTATTCCCCTCATGCATATCCTGTTCATTTTTCTTTTGAATTTCGCCATTATAATTCTCATTTTTCTTATTTTTCGCAATTTTATGCTGGGGTTCCCCAGCAGCTTGCCCAGCTGAGCCAACCCCCGGTTGCCCGTCCAGCCAGGGCGGAGCTGCGCCCTCAAACTGGCTGCGTGGCGCCTAGGCGGTGGCCTGCTTGTTTTCCAATGAACTTGGAGAGCCTACAGAACTCAAGGAAACTTGAGTATTGCTGAACTCGATGAATATTTTGAGCCTTCAGGGCTATGAAAGAAAGGCCACAGATTTCACAACATTGAATATACAATACTATACATACACATTATAGACAGAGAAAAGAGTCACCAATCAAAATAAGAGGGATCGCAGCCTTTGCCGATCGTCAAATCCAATTGAGAGAGCCCACCGCACATTACTCCACTATATGCCAGCCACAATTTTGACAGTCTTCAAATTCGTTCTTAAGATGCACACACGGGAAAACTAAGTTCCACGCCGCCAGGAATGCGTTCATCTTCCGTATTGCGCTACAAATTCACAATGATCGACAAGAAACGAAAAGAAAAAGAATAAAGCGCAACAATCCAGTTATCTAGAAAACTGTCCGCAAAGGAGGCAAAAAGGAAATTTCGTTACCGAGGGCATTTTTCTCGGGGTCTGCAATGCGAGCTTCGTTAACAACGCTCTGCGCGAGCGGGTCCGATAAACCAATTTTCTCCACAAGAACCTACACAGATCCCACCGGAAAACGTTGGCACCATCAGTTGAGCAGTTTCAAACGGAATGTTCCATGAATCAAAACCCAAACGCAACAATGAACCCAGATGGCCAGCCACAGAAACCACAAACAACTGCCGCTGAGGCTGTTGAGCACCCACCTGCAACAGCACCACGGCAGCTACCGTCTTCACCCGAATAGAGCGCCCCGTCATTATAGCCGTATTTGGTGCAATTTTCCAGTCCAGATACGGCTATAATGCCCGGGCGTTCTATTCGGGTGAAGACGGTAGCATCAGTTTCATCCCAGATAGGGCTAAGATACCTGTTTATTTCTTTTCCCCGAGGATTCAATACTGGTGGTCCTGTCTTTGGGAGGCACGGTTCATCGACCATAAGTATATTTTAAACCACCAGCACACCCGGGCCCGTAATACTATAGTGACAATAAAAAAAAGGCTTGAAAGGCCGTCCTGTCCGGATTCCACAGGCAATTGAATTGGTTGGGCTTAAAGAATTAGCCTTCAAATAAAATTTAAAAAATGGTGCTGGGGAGTGAGACAGCCTATCCGCCATGTCAACAGCTGTCATGCGCTGCAGAGGACATAGAC